GTTCCCTGTGCTGCAGTGGTATCCTGGAGCAGTTATTAGAGGGGATGTGGGACAGCATGACCTCGAGAACAAAGCCGTGTGTGGAGGGTGGCTCCCTCAGGGGCTCTGGCAGCTGATGGAGGGCAGGAGGGCTCAGAGGGGGAGGCCCTCATCCCCTCCGCCTGCCACCCCTGTTCGACCTAATCAGATGCTGCTGCCCCTCTTGGCTACAACCTGATGGTAGTGCCCAGTCAGGTGACAGGCGCCACCTGTCCCTCTCACCTTTAGTGATGAGACTGAGAGAGCGTACACTCAGGTGGAGTGTCAAGCTGTCCATTTCCAGGTTCTAGCACCTTCTACCCTGCAGTTGTTGAGTGTAGTGTGTGGAATGAGGAAGGGGCTTCTGGCCTTTAGAGGAGAGAGGAGCTTAGCACAGGGCAGCCCCCTGACCTGCTCAGCTCCTTTGTGTAGCCTGTGGTAGAGGCTGGGCAGAGGTGGACAAGAGGGGCTCCTTTAAGAAACTCTGCCTAGGATGCTTCCCAGGGACAAAGTGTGCCGGATGCCTTCCTTACAGTCATGTCGGGGTATATTGGGAGCTTTGCTCTGCATGTGGTCAGTCCCATGCACACTGGTGAGCCCCACCCCAGGGCCTCAGAACCAGGAGTCAGGGCAGAGACCCTGCGGTCACAGACTTGCTCAAGGTGGGAGCTGGGGGCAGGACACATACACACTGATCAGATGAACTGCAGTAAAGAACACAGACATATGTCGCCGAGGGCTGTGGGAGCCGGCAAAGGATGAGAGGTGTGGTCTGGACCCATCAAGAACTATTCCCAAGTAGAAGGGGCCAAGAGATATGGGGGCGGGGGGGTAGTACATTTCTCCTGAATGCAGGGGTGAACAGGGCACATCTTTAGGTCACGAGGATTCCAGTCTGACTAGCAGGGTACTTTGGAGAGAAGGAAGGTGGGCCAGTTCAGTGGTGGGGCACAGATGGTGAGGGCTTTGGGGGGCTTGGGCACATCATTGTAAGCAATGGGGAGCCACCAGAAAGACCAAAGCAGAGGTGGCTGAGCTGACAGGCTCATACTGGGGTCTGCACCACGGTATTTTGGCAGCCGGGGAAAGAGTATGGGTGGTCTTGGGAGATCTGTAGGTGGGGCATGAGGGGACCTCCTCTGTGAGAAATGAGAAGATTGGCCTAGAGAAGCAGTAAGAAATCATTCTGTTCTGTGGCAAAGCAAGAAGGAGCCCTTCATCTAGTCCAGGCCTCCGGTGGGTTGCTGGGGCCAGGTGTTCAACTCCACTCACCCTCGCCTTCTGGGCCCTCCTCATGTCACTGTTTCTGATCTTCCAGATTGGATCAAGCACCTCCTTAGTGGAGAGAGGCCCCACCTCCAGCCTGTTCCACTAAAAAGGTGTTTCGGCATGGCCAGGGCTATTTCTTGGAGCTCGATAACATCCACCATAGTGGCAGTAATGACCTGGCAGAATCCTATGACCCAGCATGACCCAAAGATGCCAAGGAGGGCCAGGGATAAGAGTGATAGGAACTCAGTTCCTGGTCAGGCAACCACATCCTGGCCCCACTCAGCTCTGTGACCTTGGGCAAGTAGCTGTCCACTTAGTTTCCCCTTGTGTGAAATAGAGATTATGTTAGTACCAGCTTCATAGGTGAGAACTGAAAGGAGTGGTGCTAGGGGCCTTAATACAGTGTGGCTGCAAGCACAGAATCACTGCAACCCTGAGGTGGGCAGCTGCCGCATCTCTTCTATTCATTGCTGTTGCATAAATCCTGTGCCTGGCACAGCCCCTACCATGTGCCTGGAACACGCCCCCTAAATACTGGGTGCACGTGTTGCCTTTTATGGGGATTGTGGGAATGCTCAGAAAATATTTGTGCTGGCCAAGACCCTACACCTCAGAGTTCCTTCTGCACAGTCCTAGTTGTTAGCTGTCATTAAGTTGTTCCCTGACTCATGGCGATCCCATGCACAGTAACAGTCAGACTAGTGTGATCCATAGGGTTTACACTGGCTGATTTTCGGAAGTAGATTGCCAGACCTTTCCTCCTAGTCCATCTTAATCTGGAACCTCTTTGGAATCCTGTTCAGCGGCATCATAGCACCATGCAAGCCTCTACTGACACAGTTCCAGTAAGCACCTTGTTTTCTTAGGAGTTTCTCCTTCCACCTAGACTTCACCCTGTGGGCCAGCACTACTCCACTGTCTCTAGAAGGGGCAACTTGGCACCCAAACCCCCGGCAGGGATTTCTAAATTCTCCACTGCTTCCATGAACCTCCTGTTCCTTCAGTGGCTATTTAGGATTCCACCGTCTCTCCTCTCTGCCTGTTCAGCTGCCCCAGGGAAGAAAGAGCCTGTTGGGAGAAGAGAATTGGTCTCTTCTTTCTCTCTCCTAGCCCTGCTCCCTGATCCTCACCCCTTTTCCCTGAGGTGTAAGGTGTAGTGTGCCACTGCTTAGGAAAGTTGCCAGAAGGCTCTTCCCGAGGAGGTGGTAACTTTCCACTGCACTTGAGGGAGCAGGCTGTGTTTCCCACTCAGATTTGGCCTGCTTCTTGCTAGCTCAGGGTTGCCTCAGTTTTCACTCCTTGATCCCCTTTGCAGTTCTCTGCCAGGTCTGCCCATGGCCTCCTGCCCTCAGAGCTAATCCTCAAGGTGTGGGAAGCCCCCTGCTTCTCACCTTCATGTGAAATTTTTAAGGGGAGAGTTAAAGCAAATTCAAATCACTTTACAGCTTTAATTTCTATAAGAAGTGCGGAGAGTTTCCAGGTAAAGTTAGAAAGATCTTGGGTACATTACTGCTTACCCCAGAGACTTTCTTCCAGAAATGTGGCAGGGGTATTGTTTTTTCCCTCTGATGTTCGGAAACTCCATCAGCTATTTCAGTTACTATACCGCTACCTCCTTCCACTGTTAAGCATTTTCTATGTGCCTGGCACTTTATCTTATTTCTTGCTACAGCTCTCTGAAGTCTTTGATAGTGTTGATCTTATTTTGTAATGAGGAACTGAGGTCCATAGGGTAGTGACCATTTCAAAGTGACACAGCTAATAAGCACCCCAGCTAGATTTGAATCTAGTTAACTAATTCTGGCCAAAGATGGAGTCTTCTGAATTTAACCCAGACACAGTCTGTCAGATGTTCCTTCTGGATAGAAGACAATTGTTTTTCCCTTAGCACCTGTCTGCTGTTGAGAGATGATTCCACTGATCTGTTATATGATGCACCATTGAGGCTCTGGACTCTGGGTAATGCAAAATGTGACACTGGTAACTGAAAGATGGGAGGTTTTAGTCCACCCAGAGGCACCTTGGAAGAAAGGCCTGGCAATCTGCTTCCAAAAATCAGCCATCCAAAACCCTATAGAACACAGTTCTGTTCTGATGCACATGGGGTCACCATGTGTCGGAGTTGACTTGACAGCAAGTGGTTTTTTTATTGAGGCTTCAAAACTGGTAAAGAGCCTTTCCCAGGAGAGGGCTGCCCTGCTCCATTGAGGCAGTGACCAGCCACCCTGCCAGGGCTAGCAAATACCCAGGAAATAGGGAGGGGCAGAATTAACAGCTCTTGGCTGTTCTGCATCCTCTGCCAGGGTTGTCTGTCTCCTGCAGCCCAGAGCAAAAAAGGCTTGGGCTGGAACCAAGCTCCACCAGACAAGTCCTCCTGAGCCTCACAGGGCTGTGGCAGAGATTCAGGGGACAGTGTAGGGAAGCACTCTGTGCCACCCTCACCTGACAAATGTTCCTTTCCCTCCCTCACCCTCCTTGCCCTCTCAAATGATTAGAAGTGCAGCAGCAGGCATTTCTGCCACTGCCAGGCCCCAGGGAACCTGCTCAGGGTGAGGTCAGAAGCCAACTCCTGCAGTTTGGGAAATTAGCAGCATTTGTAGGCTTCCCAAGAGACGTCCTGGTTTCTCATAGCCATCCCAACAGGATGTTACTGCCCCTTAGAGGGCATTGCCCATGTGCGGGGTAGTCCTGGGTTGTCACAGTGACTGGGGGTCCATCCTCCTGCCATTTATTGATGGCGTCCAGGGAGACTAACCATTCTGCAGTGAGCTGGCCCATCAGTCACACACTGCCCACGAGAGATGCTGGGGAATGACCCATGTGCTTCTCGTGTCTCCTGGCTCCTTGGAAAGCCACCTTGCTAACCGTTCCCAAGATGGAAGAAATGGGAAATAAAGAGCATGCTTCCATCCATGCATGTGACCAATGAAAAGGCTGTGTTTCCAGAAGAACATGGCACGGGCAAGAGGAGCATCTGGTCTTGTGCCCACTTGCTCCATTCTTCAGAGATGGCTTTGCATCAGTTGGGCTCTTCTGGGCCGAGGAAGACCTGGATTTGGGTGGAGAGAATTCTTGGGACATTAGGAGGCTTCCTTCTTGGCAGTGCCCTCAGCACGTGAGCCAGCAGCCCACCTAGCATAGAGATTCAATCCTGGGGTCCCTTGCTGGGGGCTTGCCCTCCACTCCTTCTCTGTTTCTACAGCTTGTCTTTTCTCTGTGCTTTTTGTTTTGTTTTCTTTGAATGAAGTGTGTTCAGAGGAGGCTAACTCTGGATTGTGTAAACAGTTAACATGCTCAGCTAACAGAAAGCTTGGAGGTTGAGCCCACCCAGAGGCTCCTTGGAAGAAAGGCCTGGTGATCTGCTTCTGAAAAATCAGTCTTTGAAAACTATATGGAGCTGGGATTTTCAATGGCTGGTTTTTCAGAGGTGGATCAACAGGCCTTTCGTCCGAGGCACCTCTGGTTGGACTTGAACCTCCAACCTTTCGGTTGGCAGCCAAGCATGTTAACTGTTTGGACTGCTCAGGGATACCTGGCCTCAGGAAGTGTACAATAAACAGTTTTAAACTTACAGAAAAATAAAGAATAAACCCCTGTGGAGCACAGTTCTACTCTGACACACCTGGGGTCACCATGAGTCAGAGTCAACTTGACAGCAGCTGGTTAGCTCTGGAGTGCCATGGCTGAACAACTCTCTTCTTGTTTTTCAGTCGGGAAGACGTCTCTGATCACGAGGTTCATGTATGACAGCTTCGACAACACATACCAGGTGAGGTCCTGGGCCCTGCCCTCCAACCCCCCAGTGTCTGCAACCATGACAGCTGCCTGGAGTGCACGACCCGGCCTCTCTCCAGGACTCGCTAATGCTGGAATGAAAGCGGGACTGTCTGGGCTACCAGGGGGTCCATTTGGCCTTAGAGGAGCTTCTCGTCTGTGTGCTGGCCCCAGCCCAGTAAAGATCCCAAACCCTGCTGAAAATCCAGACCTTGGTCAAGGAAAAATTTTCCAGAGGGAAATTCTAAAATTTAGATGACACATTTCACTCTGTGTGCTCTTGCTCTTCATGGGCAGCCTTAACCCATTATATGTTTGGTTGCCTGGGGGGTCGTCAGGTGGAGGAGGATGAATAAGGTGAAAAACGAGAGGTGAAAGTTAAAGCGTTAAGAGAACTTGCTCCTCGAGTGTGACCACGCATGACCCAGGGTTGCTGAGACACTTCCTTCCCGGGGAAGGTTTGCCTGGTACCTCTGCACTGCTCCATGTGTGCAAGAGGCTGGATGGAGGGGCCTCTGGCTCATGGCTCTCGAAGGGTGGTCCAGGTCAGCCAAAGGCCCAGAGCTGTGCTCCAGGTAGCACAAAGGTGAGCTCATGGGGGTCAGTAACTTTCACTTTCCTGGCATCACTGGTGAGTGGGGCGGTTTGTGCAAGTGAATTTTCCCTGCAACTATGGCTTTTCTCAAAAGGCACCAAACTTAATCATTTCAACTACTTTTAAGAGAAAAATTCTTTCTTAAGGTACAGACAAATGATAATGCATTTTTCTAAGCCAGTGGGTTTTATGAGATACTAGTTCCAAGAGACATGAGTAAGCGTTCCTTGAAAAAAATAGGATAAGAGAGGCATAGATTTGGGGGACACTGAGTGAAGAAGAGTGAATCGACCTCTCTGCTGCAGGACTTCTCAGGGCCTTTGCTATGTCCATTTGCTGAAAGAGGATGTAGTGTGCAGGATCTCCCAGATGTATTTGATCATGGAATCCTTTTGTCATCAAGTCCTCAAAGGGCAAATATTTATAGAACTCACTTCCCAAACTGAGTCATAGAGGACATGGAACATGGTTCACTGCAGCTCACGGTTCCGTGTCTACTTTTTAGACTGGCTGTTTCCCTCTGAACCAGACGTTGTCCTTGCCTCTCTCTCTGCCTCACTCTCATTTCCCACTTTTATTCTGCTGTGGTCTGAAATACTAGCTAACTACCAGACTTGATAAGAATTGACTGTAAGGTAAGAACATGAAGCTCTGGGAGAGGGGCCCTGAGTAATGTGCACAGCCCTGGGGCATGGGCTCTGGGACGCGTGTCTTGGCCTCGCTTTGCCTTTGTTGTTTCCTCTCTAGACCAGGGATTTGTAACACGGGGGGCTTGCCAGAGCCTCTCCTGATGAGGGGAGTTCAGCTATTATCAGTTTGGATTAGACATGACAACTCTAACAGACTTCAGTTCTCAAGTCTGACGTGTTGTTCATTTGTGTGTGTATAAACGATCTCAAATATCTAAATTCCATTTTTTTGATCATTGAATTTTGATTATTTGAGGTTTTTTTTTTAATTATTAAGTTAGTTATAATGCCTCCTAGCAGTCCCCGGGCAGCGCAAATTATTGCGTGCTCGACTACTAGCCATAGGGTTGGTGGTTTGAACCCACCCAGCGGCTCCATGGAAGACAGGCCTGGTGATCTGCTTCTAAAAGGTCACAGCCTTAAAAACCCTATGGAGCAGTTCTACTCTGCACATGTGGGATCACCATGAGTCAGAATCGACTCAATGGCAACTAATAATGTCTCCTGTTGGTGTCTCGTGAAAAACAGTTCTACTCTTGGCTGGTTGGTGTTCTTGGCAGTGGTGGGTGGCAGAGGTGGCCTCAGGCCTTTGCAGCAGTCTGCATGGGAGTGGGTCAAAGCCTCAACTCCTCCCCATGCCATTGGAGTCCCTTAAAACCTCAGTCTACCTCCAACTCCAAGGTCGTGTCCTATTGCCTACTGCTTGTCCCACACCCCATGGTCCAGTGGGCCTGCCTGCTCACCACTCTCCACACAGGGATACTGTCATGGCTCCACACGTGGGCTTATGCCATAACCCGTGCTGGAATGCCCTCCCTGCTCCTCCTTTCTGCTGTGAAAAATTCTTCTGACTCATCAAGGCTCAGGGCAAATCTTCGCTGTGAGGTGTGAGGCCCTCCCTCCCTGTGCTTCCTCTCTCCTGCAGCACGGTGTCCTCAGAGCTAATCTAGCCTTCCCAACTCTGCGGTCATTTCTGATGTGCTTCTGGCTGCACTCTTGGGCCCAGCACAGGGCCTGCCCATAGCCCATGTCACAAGTGCCTGTTGGAACGAAAGTGACTTGGAGACATGCTGTCTGCATCAGGTTTCAGACCCCGTCAGACTGAGGCCACAGAGCCTCGTTGTAATGAGACCCAGAAAGAAGCAACTGCCCTCCCCACTACAGGCTTGGTTGACTCTTTTTTAACTGCAGCAGGTGGAATTCTTTTCCCAATACCCTTTAAAATGATAATTAGGCTGGGTGGCCAGGGCTCCAATTCTGTGCATATACAGGCTCATTTAAATGAATTCTCTGGAGGTCCAGAGGGGGAAATGTCACTTTGTTTACTTTGTTTTCCTAACATGGTGGCAGAGAGATCCCCAAGGGTTTTGGAGGATAAACTTAACCCTTCCTGTTTCCAAGTTGCTTCCCAGCACGAAGCCTCCCTGCCACCCTCATAAACATCCTGTCCCTCAGCAGTGGAGCCGCATGCCGTGATTGGCTAAGGTACCCAGACAGTGCCCAGGGCAGAAGTATCCATTCTTTCTGCATGTCCCTGTCTCTTTCCCACTCCACCTCTCTCCTCCCAGTCACTCATTCTGACAACAGGTGTTTGTCAGGTACCTGCTCTTCGTGTAGAGGGGCAATTGGAGAACTCACCAAGAATCTAGCTCTGCCCTCGGCTGGATCATGGAGGCTGAGGGGGGGTCATCCCCCATCCTGGGTGGCAGTCGGTGAGTCCTTCCTTTGTCTGGTACTGAACATACATGAGGCCCCGAGAGGCTGGCGAGGACCCAGGTGTACAGAGCTAGGTCCCATTGCTAGACATCTTGGGAGGTTCTGTCTGCTGGCAGGCCCCAGGAGATAGTACCTGTCTTCGTTGGCCTGGAGAAAATATGCTTAAATGGAGAGAAGAACAAATGACATCCTTCAGAAAAGATTACTGTAAAGCCTTAGAAGATGCAGATGAGAAGGTGCAATTGGTAAACCAGATATATGACTTGGTAGATCGACCCTTGAGAAAGCTGGATCAGGAACTGGCTAAGTTTGAAATGGAGCTAGAAGCTGATAATGCTGGAATTACTGAAATATTAGAGAGGCGATCTTTGAAATTAGATACTCCTTCACAGCCAGTGAATAATCACCATGCTGATTCACATATTCCAGTGGAAAGAAGGAAATATAATCCAACTTCTCACCATACGACAACAGACCATATCCCTGAAAAGTTTAAATCTGAAGCTCTTCTATCTACTCTTACATGAGATGCCTCTAAGGAAAATACACTCGGATGTAGAAAGAATAATTCCACAGCCTCTTCCAATAATGCTTACAATACAGATTTTTCTGGCCCCTGGCATCCTATAACATTGGCTCACTATCTTCAGGAACTGGTGCTGGGGCAGTTACCATGGCAGTAGCTTGGGCAGTTCAAGCTGTAGCTCAGATGAAAGAGGGACAAAGAACATCAAGTTTACAAGCCAGTTATGATGCGTTTAAGAACGATGACTTTCAGCTGGGAAAAGAATTGTCAATGCCCAGGGTAACAACTGGCTGTTCATCACCTTCAGCTCCCAGGACTCCATTAACACGGAATACCAGGTCACCAGCAGCTGACTAGCAGAGTGAGGAAGAGCAGAAATAACCACAAGTCTTCAAGCCAGCAGTCACCATCTTCCTCCTCCTTTTCTTCGTTATCATCATGTTCTTCATCTTCGACCACAGTACAAGAAATCTCTCAGACAACAGTAGTACCAGAATCTGACTCAAACAGTCAGGTCAATTGGACTTATGACCCAAATGAGCCACACTTGCATTTGTAATCAGGTAAAAATCTGGTATTTGTCTGTAGAAGCGTAATCTAAATAAACTTAAAAAAAGTATGTTGGCAGATTTCCACAGTTTTATAAATCCTGGTGAAATTCCACAAGGATTTAGGTTTCATTGTCAGGCTGCAAGTGATTCTAGTCGCAAGATTTCTATGTCAAACTTTGGCTGGGCATGACCAAGCAACTGGGTCACAAAACCTTTATAGATTTATTCATCCAAACGCAGGGAACTGGCCACCTCTCTACTGCAAGCCTGATGATAGACACAGAGTCAGCTGGTGCTTGAAGTATATGGCAAAGGCATCAGAAATCAGGCATGATCTAGAACTTCTTACTGTGGAGGACCTTGTACTGGGGATCTACCAGGAAAGATTCCTCAAGGAGGCCTCTAAGACCTGGGTTTGGAACCTCCTAGATGTGACCATGTGGGATTATTCTAGCAATACAAGGTGAAAGTGGCATGAAGAAAATTATATACAACGTATTGCATTGGTCAAATGTGCTCAAAAGACCTCTTTAAAATGTTAAAAAGCGAACATGTCTCTTTGAGAACTAAGGTACGCCTGACCCAAGCCATGGTATTTTCAGTGGCCTCATATGCATGTGAAAGCTGGACAGTGAATAAGGAAGACTGAAGAAGAATTGATGTCTTTGAATTCTGGTGTTGGCAAAGAATATTGAATATACCATGGACGCACAAATCTGTCTTGGAGGAAATACAGCCAGAATGCTCCTCAGAAGCAAGGATAGTGAGACTTCATATTCACGTACTTTGGACATGTTATTAGGAGGGACCAGTCCCTGGAGGACATCATGTTTGGTAAAGTAGAGAGCCAGCGAAAAAGAGGAAGACCCTCAATGAGATGGATCGACACAGTGGCTGCAAAGAGTGGGCTCAAACGTA